AATGTCAATTTCTTTTCTGGGAGAAGCTTAAAAGTGGAGACAATGAAGTGAAGGAAGTACATTGTACAAGAGACTATGAACAGTGATTGATTGATTGGAGATTGAGGTGCAAAATTTGGTACTGCATAGCAGCAATGGCAAGGTTCTTTTCTATTCTTATGTCATATACATTTTGCATTCTGCACGTGGACTGTGCATTGTTGTTTTCAACATTATATGTTTGCCATATGCCAACTACTTTTTCCTTTTTTAATAATGTTATGGAAAAGAGAAATTTAAATCCGATATCTACTTTTAAATAGAGACACCTGTATTCATTATTAAACATATTATTTTATATTTGGCATCCACAATTTATATTCTAAAAAAGGAATACCCAATTTTATAAAACATGGAATTAACGTTATATTTGTTACCATATTATGAGAGTTAATGTTGAATTTTTTCATTATATTTTAATTTCTTTAAATTTTGTTACTGTGGTTTTAATTTGGTTGATTTATGAAAAAAAAGGTATGAATCGATTAAAATTTATCACTCAGAATGAATAGAATATTCAGTAAAATATTTTAATTTTGTAACGTTTTATCTAAATGTCAATGAAATTGAAAATATGATGATAAAATTGAATGAAATTGAACTTGTTTATTGCAGGAGAAAGACAAGATTATGATTTAATTGTACCTTAGCAGGTGTTGACGCAAATTTATCATGTTTTGTGTGAACAATTTGTCATTTTGCTTGTGTTGTTTGAACTGTTTAAGTCATTAAAGACGTGATGCTTTTGTCCAGCCACTTGCTCTTCTGTAGAATCAATTCAAAACCAATATGGTAAAGAAGGGAAAGGAAGAAGAAGGGGAAAAATGTACAGGTAAGAATGTCCTAAATAATAAATTTCTTCTCTCCAACTTGCCTTTCTTAGTAACTGCAACTAACTATTAACCATAAGAAACAAAACCTAGCACTAGCACTAAAGCAGGGAGGATGAAGAAAAACAATATGTGCACAATACAAACTAAATTTAATTATGGAACAAGCTGGATGAAGGGTTTGTTATGCCCTTCAATCTGATAAATAAGAGATAAATATCATTTGATAAATCTAGAAATTTTTAATAATCTCAAAATTTGGATAAATCTCTCGAACTGGAGATGGATAGGAAAAAGAACTACCACTGCTTGAATCCTTTATTTTTTTTATCATTATTTATATTTTATTTTTCAATATTTTTAATTTTCATGGTTTTTATTTTTATTTTTATTATGTTTTGTATTATTATATTATGAATAAAATACTCTCACTTTTTAATTTTTAATCATAATTTCATACAGATGCATTAATTTTTAAAATAAATATTTTGTCATTAACAAAAAATATAAAATAATTACAGCACCTTCCTTTTTTTTTTTTTTCAAACAATATGATTGCCCCGACGATGTTCCCACTCTTCAACCAACTACCCCAAGACAGGTGCTCTCCAAGGGAAGGGAATATCCTTGGGATCACTAGAACGGTGCTTTTCTGAAATTTGTTTTTTGTAAAGAAAAAAAACAAATTATATAATAAGTAATTTTTACAATTAATAAAGTGTAAAATTATCATTTTAATAATGTCACGTCATTAAGTTAATAAAAATATTAACAATTGATTAATTGCTAAATTTATATATTTAAAAAAAGATATTTTTTTACACAGAATGTCTATTTCAAAAATTAATAAACCCATCTAAATTTATGATTAAAAGTTATGTCTAAATTTATATTTTTGGATTGACTACAAATTTGAATAGTTAAGCTCGAGGTTCATTTATTCAATAACTAATTCAATTAAAATTCAACTAAAAATAAGTCTAAAGAATTTAAAATGAAAAATTAAATTAATTATAAAAAATGACCTTAATCTAATTTAATTTCAAAATTTACGAAAATAATTCTGAATAAAATAAAATATCTACATATCACATTAGTTTAATAGCTCTAACTAATATATAGAAAATACAAACAAGTTCTTAAGCTACTACTTTTATCGTAATTAAGTTTTTTTTGTTTTAAATTAAGTGATTGGTTATGAAAATTTTATATATAATATTAGTATAACTTTCATTTATAAAATGAAAAAGAAAAGTAGATTGTTTTAAAAGTTAATTAAAGTACTGTATAATAGTATTATTCTTGTATTAAATACAAAAATTAACTATTAATATAACGACTTTCAATGTTTTAAAATAAAATATAATATATAATTTAGTAATATTAAAGAGTGCCCTTAAACTACTTGATTATAAAATTTAAAAATAAATATAATATCAATTGACTTACTTTTAAAAATGAACCTTAATAGAATTTTTTACAAAAAGAAGGAAAAAAAATTAAGGTCTAGAGGAACAATTATATATGTATTATCAAAGTAGGAAAGGAAGAATTAAACACAAAAGAGTCCTTTTCAAGGACAGTGAAAGATAAAATAATGTCAAACTAGCCGTTACCATTTTCCAAAGATCCCAAAAAGGAAACAGAAAGACCGCTCCTTTGCTTTCATTGTTGCCTTTCCTTAAACTCTCAGCTCCTATTTCTC